ACTTGTAAAAAAAAAAAAAAATGAACCCTTACATACCGCTTATAAATGTACTCAATAAATAGCCATGATCAGGAAACAACTACAGTGGAATTTGGAAAATGAGGTGTCAACCTATTTTTCTTTTGTGTACTTTTGTATCTAATGGTCCTTGATTCATTTTTATCTAATAGTGCCATGTACTCTCTTGAAGACATCATACTCAAGAGGAGAATTGTACTCTTCCAGCTTGAATATTCTCTGCTCTCCTATTAAGGAGAGGAAAGAACCCGCAGAAGCATTGCTTTTCCTCATAGCAAAGGAGGCTATTAGTATGCCATTCTGCTTGAAAGAGCTCAGAAATTTTGAAACATGTCATAACAAAGAAAACAATACCATGGTGCAAGAGCACAAATATTATGACAGTGTGTACTCTCAGTCCTTCCTTATACACACCCCCTCTGGCTCTGGAAAAGAGGACAAAGGCCTAGTCCATCCACATGTATGGAGGTTAAACTTCCTGAAGGCAATAACAATGTTTAGCTCCTATGCAAGGCTGGAGACTATGTAAATTACTAGTTTTTGAAACTGGCAATCTATCTAACTTAAATAATGATGCATTAACGTTGGCTTGAATGTCTAGGAAAGGCCAGGCTCTCACTAGCCCTCTGACTGATTTTATGACAGGGTATTTGGTCTTCATAGATGTCTTTTCTGAAGTTGGTTTCAAGACTTCTGAGAGTGTCCGTGAAGTCAGGACAGTTTATTCAAGAAGAAAATATTTCCTTTCCAGAACATAAATGAAAGATGGAGCCATATTCATCCCATTATTAAAGTGCTATTGCAGTACTCAGCAAAGTTGCAACAGGATACAATCACCCTTGCCAAAATCACAGCTGTAGCATGTTGAATTTGGCTGGAGGTGGATTTCACCTTTGGTTTTATGTCTACTTCAGACTTAAAAGGCAAAAAGCCTGCCACAATAAATGAACTCTCTTGTCTGTTATTAAACAAAACACCTCCCCCAGCTCCATGAAGAATTGTGCAAAATCTGGGCTTTGGTTGAGAAGCTCTACCCTTCCGTATGTGGACATGCTCCTTGCTTTTGTGTAGGAAGTTTCACCTTGGACTACTTATGTTGTGGTGTAAGTGATGGGGGACCTGTAAATCCAGGTCTTTTCTGCTTCTAAAACTTCCTTGTTAAGAGTCTTCTGTGCCTGATGCACCCTGCCACTAGGAATCCCCCTTTTGAAAAAGTTTGGGTCAGAAGAACTGGACAGGATCCTGAAGCAAATTGATGTCCATCTTGTATCAGTCTACTCAGTAAGCAGCGTGAAATTAAGCTGGTACCAAGGCTGCGCTTCTGCTTAGAGGCTATCACCAGAGATCTGCATTGAACTGAGTCTAGCTAGTGCTGCTGTGCTGAGATGGCTCTTGAATAAAGTGGCTGCTTTGAATGGACTTCTTCCTGAATGAGGATTAGGGATACTAACAGGCGATTTATCCCATTTTATGGGTCATTGGGTGTAAAGGCGAAAGCAAGTTTCAGGCTTCATCAGATGTAGCTGGTGAATGGGGTTAGATAATCTGATAGGAAAACAACACAAAAGGCTGCCCAACTGACATCTCCCAAGTAAGGTAAAGGAATAAAACTTTTGGCCTCCACCACAAAAGAGGATACAAAGGTATATTATTATATCTCCCTGCCGTGTGGGTTCTATGCAATATATATGAGCTGTTATTCACAGATAACTTTTGCAAGATTTTTTTTTTTCAATGAGTTTGTGTTTGGCATCTGTTAATTCTTGAAGCACATGAAGTTCTCAAATCTTTCCTTTGTAACTAGGTTTAATCCATGAAGGAGGAAATTATGTAGTTCTGCTGCTCAGTAGGTTAAAATTCTAGGAGATTTAAGAAAGTAGTTAGGACCGACATTATTCAAGTAGCTGGTTTTAACGGCTACCTAATTCGGGGTTTCAGGAGGAGGGGGAAACTCCCTGAAATGTTTGTTGAAAATGTTTTGGCTGTCAGGTATCCTTTTTTTCCTCTTTAAAACACAGTAAGGCATTCAGGAACTGCGAGAGATGAGCTTGTTGTGAAACAAAGTCTCAAACGTGATATATTTGTTTGATAATACAGATCTCTTAAAAAAAATCCAGTTAAAACCGGGGCTCGGTCTGGACTGGAATTCACAGGCAGTTCTGCTCGGGCTGGGGCTTCCACTGAATGCGCACACAGACTGGGGAGTTTGGAGCTGTCAGCATGGTTTTTTTTTTGCAGAGCCTCTCACACACAGATGAAATTTTTATGCTCCCTTCCTCTTCTAGTGGGGTTTTCTGTCCCACTGACACCAGCTGTGCCTGTGCAGTGTGTAAAATCCTCTCCTGTATCCCAGACTGTACCCACCCAACCAGGTCTCACACTCTGGGTGATGCAGACCTTCATGGGGCTGGAAGAACATGGCTTAGAAGTATTGGTTTACTGCTGACATGTCAAATATCAAAAGGAGAAAGGCTTTTTCTCTGTTCTGTCATCCTGATTTATTAGACGTTAAGAAAGACAAAGTGCTCAGACATACAAACCTCGCTGTTTTGGAAAGGTCTGCGAAATGGTTAATTTGCTTGTTCCACACAAAAATGTAAAGTGTCGGTTCTCTGATTACCTGCTGCTGGAAAGTGTTTGGACAGGTGCTGCGTTTCACCAGCCGTCTGTCACAGCTGACAGCACGGATTTATGGCCGGGCACCAGCCCCGGCCTCCCGGCTCCGCTCCGGCCAGGGGTCCCCGCAGTGGGGCGCCCCCGAGGGCTGCGGGATCGGCCCAGGGCGGCAGCCGAGACCCACCCCGCTTCTTCTTCGTCCCCCCCATCCCTCCCTGTAAATTCACTTGCTTGTGAACCAGCCCCTCCAGCTCCCTTGCTGAGAAACGCGGCATGGATTTAAGCAGCCTCACGAGGGAGGAGATTTCCACCCAACGGGGGAAATTCGCCCCTCGTCTTCCTTTTTAGGGCTGGGGAGAGGAAACGATACTCCCCAACTCTTCTGCCGCTCCGCTGCGGGATGCTGAGGGGGGGAAAGGGGAAGGCAAAACCCCCTGCACTGTGCCGGGACCTGCGCTTCCTGGAGCATCCAAACCCCTCAAATATCTAACAAGCTCTGTGGGCTTTTTTTTTCTTCTTTTTTTTTTTTTTTTCGTTCCCTTTTTAACTACTTTTTACTAAAAAGGGTGCTTTTCTCAACGGAAAAAGCCGAATGCCATCCTCTTGCTACATATCGCTACTCGCGCCTGCACACATCCGATTAAATCCGCGCTTGTGGCTGTAATACGAAATTCCCCGCTCCGCCAAGGTGCTTTTAACACATCCTGAAACCTGGCCGCTGCAGGTCGACAACACCAAAAGCTGCTAGCAGTTGCCTGCTGCCGACTCGTACGGGCTCCTATAAAGGAAGAGATGTTACAACGCCTGCTCGAGGAAAGGGTAGATTATAGAAGGGCAGATTAATATTTGCACAGAGCCTGGAAGGCAAAAATGATGTCGAAATGCTACGTGTGTGTATGTGTGCATGTGTGTGTACATAAAAACCAATTCCTTCAAGGGTTGGATTACTTAATACATTAGTCACTAATCTCTCGCAGTGTTCTGATGAATGTTATGGTCTGAGCTAAACACACCGTGAAATCTGCTTGAGCTTTATTGAAACAAGTCGGGGTTTTCGCCTGCAGATCGTTCCGTTTGAAGCTTTCCTTTCCGAGCCCACCTTTGCTATTTTGCAAAGTTTTTTGCGGGTAGGAGAGGAGCTATGCCAGGGCTGAACCCCGGCGCTGAGGGAAGAGGAAGTGGGGAAAAAGCCCAGGGTCCAAAAAAAAAGGGTTCTTAGAAAACAAGCAGCACCCGAAATCCTGTTTGTCATCGTTTGTTTCGGGGATCTATGGTTACAGAAGACTCGGGGGGAAAATAGCCCGCCGGTTTTCATCCCTTTTTATTATTATTAAAGCAAACAAACCCCAGATGACCATTTCAGAGCTTGTAAAAAAAACAAAACAAACAAAAAAACACGAAACTAAACAAAAACCCCAACCCTGTGAGTTCGGGGACGCAGGTAACCTCTAATTCAGTACCACGGGCAGTTAAAAACCAATCCTTCCCTTTTTCCGGCTCGGTCTCTCTGAGGCTTTCCCTGCTCAAATCTGACGATACGAAACAGCCTTAACACAACACGCTTCGGGAGGAGGCAAGGTGTGAAAACTTTTTTTTTTTTTTTTTTTTTTTTTTATTACCGGCAAATACTCCAATAGAGCTCAGGCTGCTGCGTTTTCGCCCCCTGTAGAATGACAGGTTGGCTCCGCCAGCAGCGGTCGTGCTAACGACCTTCCACGGCGGGTTTGCTTTGCACCGAGAGATGACAACAAGACTGCCTTTCGCCTGCTGTCCTTCGTGAAACAATAATTATAATAATGATAAAAACCGGCAGGCAGATGCGCTGGACTTCCGCACGCTGCAAGCCTCCCCCGGTTCAGGCAGCCAGCCCTTGTTTTTTTCGCAGGGCTGACGAGTAGCGGGGCAAGACGATTTGATGCCAGGAATTTAAGGACTTCCAAAGCTGGAGGCAGTCCTTGAGCCGGGGGGAGAAGCTCCCTCAGCTCCTGCGGTCCAAATACCGCGGGGGTTCCGCACGGGTGCCCCCCGCAGCCTCCCTCCCCAGCACAGACATCGTGCGCTTCTCCTTAGCGCAGGCTTTACCTGGGGGAGGCTTTTATTAGGGAGGAGGAGGGAAAAAAGAAGAAGGAACATCGTGGCCGAGCATCAGTAAAATGCATACGCACATCTATTATATACAAACACGAAAATAAAATGCGAAAAACATCACTCTTTCCAGTAGCAGGGGTCGTGGCCTTAAGTGTAGGGCGCCAGCCAGCAGGAGTACCAACGCCTGGCGTTTCCCTGTCCCCCCCTTCCCCCGAGCAATAATTAATTAATTAAAAAAGCCGCACTCTCCTCGTGTGAAAAAAACAAAAAATAAACACTACTTTTATAAATAATTTAATGTCCTCCCTTCCCACGAAATGCTAGTTGCCGGACAGGAGAAAAGGCTTCTTTTGGCACAGTGATGCTTTGCAGTACAGACCCTACGGCTCCGCAGCAGCCCCCCCCCACCCCCCTTTTCCCACCCTCCCACCACCCCTTCCCCGCCTTCCCGAGTGCACAGCGCGACCCCCGGCTGCCGCCACCGCGGGGACAGCCCCTGCTGTCACCGAAGGCGTCGGTGGCGGGAGGTGCGGGGATTAAAAAAAAAAAAAGGGGGGTCCGGAGGGGAAGGCGAGGGAATGGCTGAAGTCAAGTAGTCTCGACGAACAGTAAGAAGCACTTGAGGATCATGGCTACGTCCGAAACGGCACGTTTGGGGCCGGTTTTGGGTTGGGTTGACGCGAACCCGCTGTCATTTCTCTAAGGCACAGTCACCGAAGGCTTTCGCTTGGAGGCTTTGGGCGCTTCTGGGGCTAAAGTGCGGGATCCAGAGCCTCCTCCTCGCCCCCTTCCCCGCCTCCCCTCGCAGGGCAGACGGAGGGGGGGGGTCCATTAAGCCAGGGGGGTCTCCACGGCGTACGGCTGGAAGGGGGCCGAGCCCCCGGCGGCCGGCTGCACCCGGAGGGGGGCGTAGAGCGGGGACCCCGTCTGCGGCCCCCCCCGGCCCCCTTTGTGGAGGCCGGCGGGGAAGAGCGGCTCCGGCGGCCGCTCCCCCGACGGCTCCCCGCGGGGCAGCGCCTGCCGCCCGCCGGGCAGCAGCAGCGGCGGCGGCTCGGGCAGCCCGTAGGCGCAGAGCTGCAGGAGACCCCCCCCGTAGAGGGCGGCGGGGGGATGCTGCGCGGCCCCCGGGTAGGGCAGCAGCGGGTAGGGACCGGCCAGCAGGTGCGGCGGGGGCGCGGGGGGCGCCGGCCACACGAGGCGGCCGTGGGGCTGCGGGGGAGGCTGCGGGGGGGCGCGGGGCGCCGGCGGCCTCCGGAGGAGGCTCTCGATGGCGAAGGAGCTGGAGAACTTGGCGGCGCCGCCCGCTGTCGCCGCCTCCTTCTTAGCGCCGGGGCCCGGCGCGCAGTTGCAGGGCGAGGAGGCGCAGCAGCACCGCGGGGAGCCGCCGGGGGACGCGGAGCCCGCTCCGGTCGCCTCCCCCGGTGCTGGCGGCGGCGGCGGCGGCGGCGGCGGTGGCGGCGGGGCGGCGACGGGGCGGGCGGGCGGCGGGGCGGCGCGGCTCAGGCGCTTGCGGCGCCGTCGGAAGACGCCGTCGGCGAAGGTGTACTCGCTGCTGGGGTTGAGCATCCAGTAGTTGTCCTTGCCCCAGGGCCGCGCCGGGTCGCGCAGCACCTTGACGAAGCAGTCGTTGAGCGAGAGGTTGTGGCGCACCGAGTTGCGCCAGCCCGTGTAGGCGCCGCGGAAGAAGGGGAAGCGGCTCATCAGGTAGTCGTTGATCTCGGCCAGGGTCAGGCGGCCCCCGGCCGAGTCCCGGATGGCCATGGCGATCAGCGCGATGTAGGAGTAGGGCGGCTTGGGGCGCCGCGTGTAGGGCTTCCCCTTGGCGCTCTCGGGCGGCGGCGGCGGCGGGGGTGGCGGCGGCGGGGGCTGCTGCGGGGCCGGGGGGGGCTGCTGCGGGGGGCGCCCCGTCCTCCCGGCCCCGCCGCCGGGGCTGTTGGCGGCGCAGTCGCCGTCGGAGCCCAGCTCGCTGTCTGCCGGCGCCGGGGAGAGGGAGCCGCTGCCTTCCTGGTCGCTGCCGGCGCTCAGCTTGTCCTCGTAGTGCTGCGAGAACACCTCCAGCTTCATGGCGCCCCGCCGGTCGGCCGAGGGGGCGACCCCCGCCCCTCGGCGCGGCCCCGACGGCGAGGCCGGGGGGGAGGCGGCGGGGCCGGGCGAGGCCGGAGGGGGCGGCTCTGGCCCCGCACCGCCTTGGACAGCTCCGCGGAGACCGGACGGGCACCGGGGCTCCGCGCCCCGGACAGCTATGCGGGCACAGGCACCGGCACCGACACCGGGATCGGCACCGGGGTGTTTCCGAAGGCTTCCCCCTCCGCGTCCTCGTCGCCCTGCGAGGCTGCCGCTCGCTCTCCGTCCCCCTTGTCGCTTACGCGGCTTGCTCCATGGGGCCGGAGGAGAGCGGGTCCCCGCGGAGGGCCGGCTGCCGGGGCTCCTCTCCGCGCCCCCCCGAGCCCGGTGGTCCTCGGGGCGCTGCCGCCGGTCCCGTCGGGCGCTCCCCGGTGGCGGGGCGATGCTCCGGAGGGCCGCCGGGGTCACTCGCTCCGCTCTCTCCGGCTTCCCCCTCGCCGCTGCGGGTCCCCGTCAGCGCCGGGCAGCCGGGCCGGCTCCTCGCTGCGGCGCGGGGAGCAGCCGGGTTATTAGGGTTATTAGTGTTATTGTCATTATCTCTCTCTTCCCCTGTGGTTCTGTGTCTCTCCACCACTTTCAGACCAGCCCATTATAACGCCGGCGAGAGGCGGAGCTAGGACAAAGATCTGAAAGGGTGGTGGGTGGAGAAGCAAGGTAGCAAAGGTGGGTACGCACTAATAAGCCGTATCAGAGCCGTAATTAGCCGAGATGACAGCGAGGTCTTGTTGGAAAGTTACTTTACGAAACTTGTTTGCATTTTCCCTTGCCAGGTTCCTCCCCTTCCCGGGCATTTCGAACGAAGCGGCCGCTCGGCGTGACTCCGCATCGCCGGGCCCGCCTCCCAGGTGTAAAATGCGGAGCGACTTATAGGTGGCAGAGCAGAACCTGGTACGCGCCGTGATTTATTTTAATAGCGCTGCATAGAGCAACAAGTTGTAATGTGACAGCTCAACAACGTGTTGGAAAATAACACGCTGCTCCGCAGCTGGGAATTCCTCATGATTTATGTAGCCCGACAAAGTCGTTTCAGTCCTGGCCCCTCTTTCCTTCTGTCGTAAGCACGCCCTGTATAGGGGTAAGATGTGAACAGGTAGGCAATACTGTGCGCTTTTGCTGCGGGAGAGAAGTAGTCAAAACCTTAACTTCAGTTTTAGGTATGCTACTGTGCATATAGTAGCGTTGCTTGATCTCGTCCGGATGTTTGTAATGTTATAACTGTTGCTCTCCAATAAAATCTTTATTTATTTATTTATTTTTAAAGTGATTTGCTGTAATATATATATATATTTTTAACATCGTGGCTCTATAAATTTTCTGTAATGCCTGGCACAAAAGTGTTCTGTAATTTTATCTAGATACTTTTCTTGCTAGAAAAAGTGACCATGACTTTTTTGCTTAATTGTAGCTTTGCACTTGCCAGGGTCTTAGGCTCCTTCAGCAGTCAGAAGTTCGATCCTCCTTGTCTGTTGGACAGAACAGCTCAATGAAGAGAGCAAGACAGCAGTAACTTCTCTGTAAACTCAGTTCAGTCCTGCCCTGCTCTTCATTCAAAGTCAGTTGCAAAACCCCATTTGACTTCCTACAGCAGTAGTGCTAGCATCTACAAAACTATAACAAAACAAAAATATCAGCAGAAATCTAGCGTGATGCTTACATTTTATTTCTCATATGTATACTTTGAATTTTGTGTCCTAGAGTAAGTGTTAGATTGCTCCATATTTTCCCAAAGCAGTTTTTCTAAATCAGACTTTGTTTTAGAATAAATGCTTAAAATTGCAGAGTCACTCTACCTAGGACTGTGCTCCTGCGGTCTGGCTGTCAAGGTGTGTTGGGGAGGAACTTAAAAGAAGTCGAATTTGAAAGGCTAACAGAAGAAAAAAACAGTCCTACTTTTCTTTCCCCATCTCTCTTGAATAGAATATATACATTCCCACACACACCTGCAAAGTGTTTCAAAGCTTTGACATTTTTTTTTTTTCAGTTTGTGTGGGTCTTAAATACTGAACAATGAGAGGTCGTTCTGTCCATTTGGTTGTACTCTAACTTTAATAATGGATTTGATGTCTTCCTGTTCCCACTAAAGCTGTACTAGTTCAGAAAAATGGGTAATTGAATGACAAAAATAAGAGGAGGGAGACCTCTCTTGGTTTCTTGTTGTTGTCTCTCTGTAATGTAAACAGATCTTTCACTGCATTAGCTGTAGGTGCCAATGTTTGTGTTTAAGGGTATGGGAAAAAGCCATCATTCCTTCCAAAACTTGTATTTTCTAAGATGATGCCAATGGCGAGGGTAGGTTTTTCCTCTTCCTGCTTTTGTTGTAAATAGCAGTGAAGTAGCGATGATTTGCTAGCTTACCTTTGATGTTTATTTTATTACCGTTCCACTATTTGTGTGGAAAATGTACACATTGTCTCTTATCTTTATTCAAAGAACTTAAAAAGTCATTCAAATGCTGTAGGTAAACACGTCAGACATAACAGAAGCTTTTCACAGCCATACTTCAAGATGAGGAGAGGATAGCAAAGCTGGTTTTGCAAGATTTAAGAAGGGACAGAAGCTTGTGTTAAAAATAATACAATTAAAGATAGCTATTAATGGCTATTAATGGAGGAGAGTACCTTTCTAAGATGAGTGTTGATTCTTGTGTGGGCTCAAGGCCTCTGTGCTGCCTCTCAGCATGTCCCTGTATAAACTGACCCTGAAATCTATGGTGTCTCTTACCCGACAAAACAGATGAAGGTGCTTATGTGAGATCTGTGCTGGGTTTAAATAGAGCCTTCCTGGTCCAAGTCGGAGTGGAGTCAAGCCCATTGCTATTGCTGCCCATGAAAGAACGGGTGTAGTTTTTAAGAAGTGGTGAAATAGTACAACTCCTCCTGTCTCTCACCACTGAGAGTATATGTAACCTCAAGTCTTTTCCTGCTATAGTTTTTTAAAAGGCACAGTATCGCCTTCAGGTTTATAAAGATTAACACAATCATCGGAAAAACTGATTCTGTTAAGTAAACTTCACATCAAAAGCGCTTTGATGTGCTGTATTATAGCAAAGCCAAACACTCCACCCCCATCACCCCAAGAAAAACCTCCAAAAACTTCTCGTGAAGCAATGTAAAAAAAATCTAGATTCTTTGTTCTAAAATGAAATGTCTCTTCCTCTCTAGCGCAGCAGAGTAGGATTTTTTTGATGTATGACCCCCTCTTTTCCTACCCAGAACAGTACCTAGTCAAAGACAAAGAGGAGAAATGTGAATGGTTGCTTGCAAATCACACGGTCAACTTTGCTTCCCATGTTCAGTAGTATTCCACTCCTGTACTTCACAAACAGCAAGAGTATGCCAATGTGTGTTTGAGGGTAGGGCAGTTTGCTCAGCCTTAGAGTTCTAAAAATATTCATTACTACATGCAGCAAAACACTACACAGTCTGGTGGTTGTGGGCATGTTTTTGGTTGATCCAGTTGTGTTGCCTTCATGGTGTTCTAAGCCATGATTTTGCTTTATGCTCCAGTGAAAATTATGCAAAAGTGTGTTGCTCTATGGGCTTGCTTTTATTTATTTTTTTAATTTTTCTTTTTCTTATGGTCTTTTTTTTTTTTTTTTTTACTGTCTTTTCTGTCCCTGTCCCTCCAGATGGCTACTAAGATTAAAGAAAACTTCCAGATAAGATCATATAAGCATAACTGGTCAATATATGTCTCTCTATGGGAAGTCCTATAGCTAGTGGTAGGCAAGCTTATTTGTACATCTGAGATGTCCAGCACACCAGCTGGACAAAGTGCTTCATCATCTCTTTTCCTCCTCCTGCAGCAAGCTGCAGAAGTGCAGTGCCTTGCCAGGAATGATGAAATTGGACAATGCAATACACTACATGAGCAACAATAGACCAGTTCAAAGAGTTCTCTTTGGATGGGCTACTCACAGCGGGAGATGTGCCTAGCATGCATAAATGAACTATAGAGTCTGTGAAGATTGGCTAATTGAACTATATATATTTTTAGAGTTGAAGGAAATCCAGCTGGAGACTAAGCCATAGGAAAGGAGGCTAGTGGAAATTCATGTAGAACTTGAGAGGAAGGGTTTGATGTCTGGGGTAGAATGCATATCTGCATGAATCTTTCATTGTGAACTCTATGGATCTGCAGTTTTCCACAGGAACAGGCATTCCCTTAGGGCAGAGGTTTCCATGTGTCTTTGGCAGATACCGAGGGCTGAATTTACGGTGGGGACTTCCATTTAAACTTTTTTTCACCCAGTGTTTAATTTCTTGGGAGCTGTTGCTCAGGATGAAATTTTCCCATGCCCAAAGGTTTAGAATCACTTCCTCCCTGTGCCCACTTCATCTCTCATAAAAAAAGTCTACACCTAAGTAGATTTCTTTTCTCCTTTGTACAGGATTGTGACAGAATGGGCAGGGACAGGTTTTCTCCTGTGAAGAGAATGACATTATTGCTGTTGTTAGTAATGCCTAGTACTAGAGAATTAATTCCCTGTTCTTACACCGTCCTTCCCACCCAGAGATCTTGGAGTTCACCCGGATTACAGCCAAAGAGAAGTGAATGTCCTGCTGAAATTTGTTTGTCAGGTCAGTTGTAATCCCGTCTGTAGAACTGAGCTCTTCAGAGTCCTCAACTTGTGTTGTGTCCACTGAGGTATCCATCACGAGGACTAATCAAGTGTTGTGCCATGTAGCAAGGAGCTGCCAGAACTGGGATTGTGCTGTCATGAACCTCAGAAAATGTAAAGGTAATTTTCTCTTGTTACTAGCTGTGTTAAGCCTCGGGGGCTTGAATGGGGCTCCACACCAGCATAAGGTGAACGTCTGTGGAGTATATTGCATGTCTTGCAGTCTGAGAAGGTACATGACACAAAGAGTACAGGGTGAGGAGGGAAGTTAAGTCAATGTGGTATTTACAACATATTTTGTGATGACTTAATTTAGTAACTGTCCCCATAGGCTTTTCTCATAGCCAGTTTTCATCTAACTGCACCAAGAGAGAGAAAATACAAATGGTGATGCACTTATGGGTCTGTGGATCTCTTCAAGGAGATTATTATTACAGTAAGAAAGAAACTGGTATTGGAAGGC